CAGTCAGATGGTCCTTCTCCACTTGTCATGTCACTCGCCCAAATGACGGGATTCTTGTCTCATACCAGCCCCGCAACTGCCGGAAGAGCCTGTTGGTAGACTGAGAAGCTTCCTCCGGCTCCTGCAGAGCCGAGGGCTGTGGGTGGGCAGTATATCTGCCCCAGGTGAGGCCCAGACGAGGAGAAGCCTGAAGGCTTGCCCAGGTTCCCAGCACCCACCCACGGCTCCTCATTTTTCAGGGCAGGCCTGCCATGCCCCGAGTGGAGGTGTCAGGGTGGGGCCTTCACACCCTAGAGGGCTTGCACCGGGAACAGATGTGGGGTCTGGTCTGTTGCAGGGCCGAGATGGTGGTGCCCGACTTCTCAGAGCTTTTCAAGGAGAGAGCCACAGCCCCGTTCTTTGTGTTTCAGGTAAAGTGGCAGCTCTGGCCATTCTCGTTTCCTTCCTCGGTGCTTTCATAGCCAGGGCAAACCTGTCCGCCACTTCCAAGCCCCTAAAACATGTCCCTGTCCTCATGGGTCAGAGCCTGTGAACAGAGGAGGCTCCTGGGGCACAGAACGGGTGGGGTGAGGACAGACAGGCTGTTGTCCCACAGGTGTTCTGCGTGGGACTCTGGTGCCTAGACGAGTACTGGTACTACAGCGTCTTCACGCTGTCCATGCTGGTGGCGTTTGAAGCCTCCCTGGTGCAGCAGCAGATGCGGAACATGTCGGAGATCCGGAAGATGGGCAACAAGCCCCACATGATCCAGGTGCGCGTGGCGGGGAGAGTCCTGCCCAGGCTGGGGGTGGGCATGGCGCAGACACGTCTTCCGTGCTGACACTTGCCACCCCTCACCCCCCAGGTCTACCGAAGCCGCAAGTGGAGGCCCATCGCCAGTGACGAGATTGTTCCTGGGGACATTGTCTCCATCGGTGAGGCCCAGTTCCCCTGGATCCAGGTGGGGGCCCTGCCCAGGGGCCTCTGGCCAACCCTCCTGCCCTGCCCCGCAGGCCGCTCCCCACAGGAGAACCTGGTGCCCTGCGACGTGCTGCTGCTGCGGGGCCGCTGCATCGTGGACGAGGCCATGCTCACGGGGGAGTCGGTGCCCCAAATGAAAGTGCGTGGCAGGAGGTGGGGGGGTCCTCAAGCTACTCGGGAGGAAACAGGGCAGGAGAGGGTGGGCTGGGGGTGGGCTTGGGTGAGTGCCATAGACAGCGGAGCTGGGAGGTGGTAGGAAGGAAGGAGCTGAGAGAAGCCAAGGGCAGCCAGGGTATCTGTGGGTGCCCCGGGGTATCAGACCAAGGTGGACTGAGAGAAGGGGGTGAGTCCTGGGAGAGGCCAGGTGTGGGGTCACAGGGAGTGGGCGCTGCAGGTGCGGGGGGAGAGAAGATGGGATGCTGCCTCCAGTGAGGATGGGGCCTGGGTGGGATGTGCTGGGTGCAGAAGGGACCGCCGTGAGGGTCAGGCTGGCTCATCGCAGCCGCACGGCCAGCTCTCCAAGGATGGAGAAGGAGACAGTGGCCCCAGCCATCCAGGTTCTCCACCTTCCTCCCCAGGAGCCAATCGAAGACCTCAGCCCAGACCGGGTGCTGGACCTCCAGGCTGACTCCCGGCTCCACGTCATCTTTGGGGGCACTAAGGTGGTGCAGCACATCCCCCCACAGAAAGCCACCACAGGCCTGAAGCGTAGGTGCCTCATGGGTGTCGGGGGGGTATCCTGGCCTCCACTGCCTGCTCCCATATCTGCTTGATCATGAGGGAGTCGGGACCAGGAGACAGGAATGACAGTGGCTCTGCTTGTCTCCCCAGCGGTCGACAACGGGTGCGTGGCCTATGTCCTGCGGACCGGATTCAACACGTCCCAGGTGTGGGGCCTTGCCTGGATCTGGGGAGGTTGGGCCCCAGGGTGAGTGGGGGACATTCAAGCCATCACCCTTCAGACCCCAAAACATCCAGCCCACAGGCTCGAGCTTGTAGCAAGTGCCTCGGCCGGGGCCAGGGTGCAGAGGCCAGCCCAAGACCAGGCCTCAGGTTCTGGTGGTAGCCGGACAGCAGAAAGGCTGTCCTCTGTCCCTCCAGGGCAAGCTGCTGCGCACGATCCTCTTTGGGGTCAAGCGGGTGACCGCAAACAACCTGGAGACCTTCATTTTCATCCTCTTCCTCCTGGTGTTTGCCATTGCTGCCGCTGCCTATGTGTGGATCGAAGGTAAGCACCAGGGCCCCCACCAGCCCCTGCAGCACTGCCTCTGAGGCCCCAGGCTGGCAGGCCCTGTCTCCACAGGCACCAGGGACCCCAGCCGGAACCGCTACAAGCTGTTTCTGGAGTGCACCCTCATCCTCACCTCGGTCGTGCCCCCTGAGCTGCCCATCGAGCTGTCCCTGGCCGTCAACACCTCCCTTATCGCCCTGGCCAAGCTCTGTGAGTGTGTTGGGTATGGCTGGGTACCGAGCAGGCCAGGGCCTGGCAGGACCCTGACGCCAGCTCCTGCCCGCAGACATGTATTGTACGGAGCCCTTCCGCATCCCCTTTGCTGGGAAGGTTGAGGTGTGCTGCTTTGACAAGACAGGAACCTTGACCAGTGACAGCTTGGTGGTACGCGGTGTGGCTGGGCTGAGGTGAGCATCAGGGGCCCTGGGCTTAGGGGCTGCTCAGCAGGGGGCTTCTGGGAGGTCTAGGGACAGACGGCCCGTCCAGCCCTAGCCCCTGCAGTGAGGGCCTGCCTCAGGAGGTCTATCTCCTGGGGCTTCCATGAAGTCCCCAGTGTGAGAGGTGGCGGTGGCTTGAAGGCTCAGTTCGGACCTAGAGCAGCCAGCCAGCCCCCATCCCACACTGGCCACCACCCCTCTGCCTCCACCATGTAACCGAGGGTTTCCCGTCCTTGCAGAGATGGGAAGGAGATGACCCCCGTGTCCAGCATCCCAGTAGAAACACACCGGGCCCTTGCCTCATGCCACTCCCTCATGCAGCTTGATGATGGCACCCTCGTGGGTGACCCCCTTGAGAAGGCCATGCTGACCGCTGTGGACTGGACGCTGACCAAAGGTGAGGGCTGGAGCCTCAGGCCCAGCAAGGGGGAGCCGTCAGCTCTCATGGCCCTAGAAAGGCGAGCCCCACCCCTCAGATACCTGGGGAGCAGGCAGGCCCACAACTCTGGCATTGCCCCAGACTGGTGGGCACAGGCTCACCTCAGATCCAGGGCAGGCCACATCCTTGGGCGTCCCCCTGGCTTGGAATCTGCCCTTCCCTGGCTGAAGCCATAGTGCTAGGGTCCCCCAAGCACACATCCTCTCTGACCCCCTCTCTAGCCCAGAACCGCCCCCCCCCCCAAAGCAGGCCCTGGGAGAGGCAGGAGGGAGGTGGGGGCGGCTTGGGGGAGAGATGGGGGCTTGGCTGCCTCTTTGGAGCGAAGCCCCTCAGGACTCGTACGTATTTGTTTCCAGATGAGAAAGTGTTCCCCCGAAGTATTAAAACTCAGGGGCTGAAAATTCACCAGCGCTTTCATTTTGCCAGTGCCCTGAAGCGGATGTCCGTGCTTGCCTCGTACGAGAAGCTGGGCTCCACTGACCTCTGCTACATCGCGGCCGTGAAGGGGGCCCCCGAAACCCTGCACTCCATGGTGAGCCAGCTGCGGCCCGGGGAGGTAGGGAGGAGGCGTGGGGCAGTCCATGACATCCCCCTGCGTTCCCTGCAGTTCGCCCAGTGCCCACCTGACTACCACCATATCCACACTGAGATCTCCCGGGAAGGAGCCCGAGTCCTGGCGCTGGGGTACAAGGAGCTGGGGCACCTCACCCACCAGCAGGTAAGGACCCGGGCTGCCTCCAGCTGCCCTCACCATGTCCCTGGCCATCAGCTCCTCCCTCGAGTTCCCCTCCAGTCCCTACAGCTCCATGGTGATTGGGTTCCATGGGTGCAATTTCGTCCTCCACCCCACCCCCAGCTTCTTCCTTTGGAGGCCCCAAGTTGCACTCAGTCCCCTGCCGTGGGGGCCCATCCTGTCCTGGCTCATCAGCCACCTCATGCAGAGCACACCCAGACCTCGCCTGCCCCCACTCTGGGGTGTCCCACACACCCTGCTCCTTCCTTGCCCAATCCCCTGGTGACTGCAAGGGCTTGGCACCCTCGGCTCCCTCACCCCGTGTCCATCATCCAGAAATCTGTCCTCCAGCCTCCACTGTTGACACGGCTGCCCCGTCACCGGCTTCTGCCTGCTCCGTGTTCGGTCTGCACCCTGCAGCTATGGGATCCTTCCAGAGCCTAACGACAGGTCGCAGCGCTGTGTGCAGAGGCCAGGCCTAGGCTCTCGGCTACCTCATTCCTGCACCTGGAGCCCCCTTCTCCCGAGTGGCACAGGCCCTCACCCCCTTCAGAGCCACCATCTTAGGAGCCTTCCCACCCCCCAACCCCAATTCCATTCCCTGATCATGTCTGCCCCGCTCCCACCTTTATCTCCCCCGTGGTTCCCAGCCATCTGATTTCTGTGACTTTCTTTATCACATGTGTCCTCGGGTAGAATGTGAGCTCCCTGCGGGCAGGGGTACTCTTGCTTAGTCTCTGGCATGTGGTGGAGTGTAAGTCAGGGACATGGCCAAACCCTATTATTTGGAGAGTCCCAACTTTATTGACATGGAAACTGAGCCACAGGGGCTCCATGATGTGCCCATGCCTACAGCCAGGAGGTAAAGGTACAGTGGGGCCCAGGCTACCCAGCCGCTGCCAAGCCCCATGCCTCAAGGGTGCGCCGTGCCTCCCTCCTCCTGGCCTTAGCGTGTCTCTCCTGCAAGGACAGGAGCTTCACTCACCTCCCCCGTGCTTAGCACCATCACAGGAGGTTGTGCTTGCTGAGGAAGTGTCCCCTGTCCCACTGGCTCCCAGCCTGTGGTCAGAGCTCAGGAAATGCAGAGAGGGAGTGGTGGGAGGGACAGATGATGAGAGCACCTGTCTCTCTCCACAGGCCCGGGAGGTCAAGCGGGAGGCCCTGGAGTGCGGTCTCAAGTTCGTCGGCTTCATCGTGGTCTCCTGTCCACTCAAGGCCGACTCCAAAGCCGTGATCAGGGAGATCCAGAACGCGTCCCACCGGGTATGGACATGGCTGGGCTCCACCTGCAGACATGAAGTCGAAGCAGAGGCAGGAATGTGACAATTCTCACCTCACAGCGGGGCAGGCTGTGGGGGTGGGCACTCAGGTCTTAACAGTGAGGAGACTACAGATTTTTCCCAAGCAAGATCATAGCTCAGGTGCTCACACTGGCCCTGGCCTGAGGACTCTTTGGGACTCACCTATGCCAGCCCCTTTCACCTCCTCATCGCTGAAATGTTTCCCGCATAGCAGCTGCCAAGCCAAGAGGGTCCACACCAGGGGCTGGTTCTTAATCTGCATTGCAAGTAAAAGCTATGAGTATTCTCAGAAGGACACATAGACATGTGTCTTTTGTGCAAAACACCCTGGGCGGGGGTGGATTATGGTCCTTAGCAGTCCATTCAGGGTCTCCATTGGAGGGCCAGGACCTGTCCCCCCAGTAGCCTGCCTTAGGAGAGTTGGCAGCAGGTCTCCAGGCTGGATTTCTGCCCCGCTGGGCCCGCCCTAATGAACCTCTGCCCCTCTCTCCCCCAGGTGGTCATGATCACAGGAGACAACCCGCTCACTGCCTGCCACGTGGCCCAGGAGCTACACTTCATTGACAAGGCCCACACGCTGATTCTGCAGCCTCCCTTCGAGAAAGGTGAGGGCCCGGCACGGCCAGGATGGGGGTCGGGGGACCCTGAGTCCAAGAACAGCTCCCATCCCAGCAGCCCTCCTATGTACCAGGCCTGAGTGAGCAGCGCAGTATCCTCCAGTACCTGTCACCACAGTGGCACCACTGATCACAGCCCTGGCCTGTTGGGCACCTCAAACACCATTGCAGGTGGTCACTGGTTCTGGCATCTAGAGCATTTAGGTGTTTATTTACAGTAACAAGGCAGTGGCGGTCACAACGGATTAGGTTTCCTTAGTGCTCACGGGCAGATGCTACTCTGGCCACACTTACTCTCTGGCCTCATCCTTAAACCCACCTTGGGCCCAGCAGGCAGCCCTCATGCCAAGTGCTCGGTGTGGCCAGACCCCAGGCCCCATGCATGTTACCGCTGGTCCCTCCCCACTGTCCTGCCCCACACGGGATAGCTTGCCTTCCCGTCACGGAGGAGAAAACCAACTAAGTCAGCTGGTGGGGCCCCTGCTTTGTAGACAAGGGAACAGAGGCTCAGGAGTGGACCCACTTGCCCAGTTCACTCGAAGACAATGTGGCTAAGGATTGGAACCCAGAAGGCCTGACTCCAGAACTCATAGCGTCCCCTAAGCTCTCCTGAGTGACTCTTTAAGCAATGCCCAGGAGTCAAACTAATACAAGGGCAAGTCCAGCCCTAGCACCTCCTGGATGGGGGCATGGGGTCTATCAGACGCCTCTGGTGCATGGCCTGGGTGGAAGCAACAGAGGGTCCTAAGGAGTCACATTAAGCATGGTTGTCACAGGGCCAGGCAGGAAGGAAGGTGCTGCTGGCTAGGGCCAGGCCAGGCAGCTTCTGGAACTTCGCAGCCAACTCTCAGAGGACTCAATCCCCACTCTCATCTGCACTGGTCCTAGGTCTCCCTCTGTCCCAGCCCCAGGTACTGGGCCCTTCTAGGGCCCCAGGAGTGTAGGCAGTTAGCCCAGAGGGGACAGCGAGGACTACCGATTAACAAACAAAGCTTCTCTAACAAAGCAGCCACAAAAAACAGGTGGAGATTGGTTTTCCTCCCACTCAAGACAGGCCAGGGTGAGTGTTCCAGTACAGGGTGGGCATCTGAGCCCAGCCTGGCCAGCGAGAAAGAAGAAGTGGATGACTTGAGCCCTGTCAGGGTGTATAGGGATCCTGGCCTCAGGAAAGCGTGATTTCAGACGGGCCACGGGGACAGATTCATTAGGTGATGAACCAGCGTTGGCGACCTGGCATGAAGTGAGAGAGTGGCTTAGTGAGGTCAGGTTGCCTGGGTTTCGGTTTCCCCATCTACACCTGTGGGTTCTTTGGATATTCGCTGTGGAATGCCCAGAACAGAGCTGGGTGCCTGGTGGGGCTTGGGTCAGTGTATGTGGGTTGTCATCTGGGCAGCAGTTGGGACACGTGGGCATGTGGGGCCTTCAGGGAGGAGAAACCAGCCAATGTGCCCGTCCAGGTGTGGGGATTCCAAGCCTGGACAGCTGAGCCCCGTCCCTGACCCTGCATGCCCGCCCACAGGCCGGCCGTGCGAGTGGCGCTCCATCGACGGCAGTATTGTCCTGCCCCTGGCCCAGGGCTCCCCGAAGGCACTGGCCCTGGAGCACGCACTGTGCCTCACGGGCGACGGCCTGGCCCACCTGCAGGCAGCCGACCCCCAGCAGCTGCTCCGCCTCATCCCCCACGTGCAGGTGTTCGCCCGAGTGGCCCCCAAGCAGAAGGTGCGTTGCAGGGACCTGGGGGTGGGGACACAGGGTCCAGGCACACAGCCCCTGCTCAGGCCATCTCTGCCCATGCAGGAGTTCGTCATCACCAGCCTGAAGGAGCTGGGCTACGTGACCCTCATGTGCGGGGACGGCACCAACGACGTGGGCGCCCTGAAGCATGCTGACGTGGGTGAGCCCCGTGGCCTGGGGGTGGCTGCTTCCTCCTCAGACCTGGTGTTAAGGGGCATATCACTGAGCCAGAAAGACAGACCCAGCCGTCCTTGTACAGGGACAGTCACGGGGCTTTCACTCCTGTGAGGGAGCAGCACACGGGAAGGAAGGGCAGGAAGAGATGAGAGTGTCCCAGGAATAGAGATGGAGGCCAGAGGCCGGGGAGAGGGGGCACAAGTGGGGAAAGCAAAGCGACTCCAGAAACCAGGAGCTGAAGCGATTGCCGCGGGGCCACAGCCTCAGGGCTGTTGACAAGAAGACACAGGTGTCAGATCGAACTTTAAAGATCAGCCTAATGTGGTTTTTGTGCTTTTCCGATGTTTATTTTGTCTAGTCAAGTGTTTATGAAGTATCATTTGCCTTCTAGAATTATGTTACTTGGCAGTCCGTTTCTTTGGAAACCGGTTTAGTTTTGAGCCAGAATCTAAGTATCAGTGTGTTTCTTATTTGATTTACATGGGGGGTTGTTGGTTTGGTTTGTTAAGTGGTTTGGAAGGCAGAATGGATGCTCGCCGGGGTCTCCTCAGGAGGTCTGGGGACTGCTCTGCACGAGGACAAGCTGCAGAGCTTGGTGTACCCCTGTGTGGAGCCTGCTCCTGGTCCTGACACCCCCTGCCCCCAGGTGTGGCGCTCCTGGCCAATGCCCCTGAGCGGGTTGTTGAGCGGCGACGGCGGCCCCGGGACAGCCCAACCTTGAACAACAGTGGCATCAGGGCCACCTCCAGAACAGCCAGGAAGTCTGGGCTCCCACCCCCTGAGGAGCAGCCAACCTCGCAGAAGGTGAGTCTCGAGAGGGGAGCCATTGGTGCCCCCCTTGGCCAGGGCTCACCCCACCCCACCCCCACAGGACCGCCTGAGCCAGGTGCTTCGCGATCTCGAGGATGAGAGCACGCCCATCGTGAAGCTGGGGGACGCCAGCATCGCCGCGCCCTTTACCTCCAAGCTCTCGTCCATCCAGTGCAGTGAGTCCCACGCTGCCCCTGACCCCCACCCGCCCTGCCTGGCGCCCTACACCCACACTCGCCTCCTCCCACCCCACAGTCTGTCATGTGATCAAGCAAGGCCGCTGCACACTGGTGACCACACTGCAGATGTTCAAGATCCTAGCACTCAACGCCCTCATCCTGGCCTACAGCCAGAGCGTCCTCTACCTGGAGGGAGTCAAGTTCAGCGACTTCCAGGCTACCTTGCAGGGGCTGCTGCTGGCCGGCTGCTTCCTCTTCATCTCCCGTTCCAAGGTGGGCCACAGAGGGGCTCGGGGGCCAGGAACGTGTGGGCCAGCCAGGGCCAGGCTGCTACAGGCCTGGAAACTCATCCCCAAGTTATAGTTATAGTCCAGGGCCTAGAGGTGGCGGCCGTGCCTGGGCTGGCACAGGAAGTACCAGCAGGACAGTGCAGACCAAGGCTCCCGGACACCTCCGAGGTGCACCGTTTGAGGTCCCACACTGTCCAGGGGCAGGGGCCTCAAGTGGCCACACAGAGCCCCATAGGCAAGGAAGGGACATACAGGAATACAATTATGCAAAAGGTAAAAACCCTAAGTGGGTTGTGGGCTATCGGGGATGGGCTGGTGGACAAGGCTCACGCAGCACTGACACTCAGGCCAGCGCATGAAGAACAAGGCCCCAGACAGGCGTGGGCCAGGGCAGGAGGCCCTGGTTGCCAGAGAGGGTTGGACCATGAGTGCCCCATGGGTTCCAGGGAAGGCTTTGGTTTGCACCAGTACAACAGGAACAGGGAAGGTTTGGAACAGGGAGAGTGGGATCTGCTTTGTGATTTTAAGACCCCTGTGGCTGCCAAGGAGACTGTAGACAGCAGGGCCCAGGCCAGGAAAGTGGCCCTGGGATGGGAGGGCCAAGAGGTGGGCAGGGATCTGGGAACTGGTGTTGACCTGTGACCACCAGGGTTTGGTGGCCGCTGTCTGCATCAGGCTTCCAAGGAGGCAAGGGTTACTGCCTGCTGAGTGGGTGGGGCAGCCCCCTGGGTGAGCCAGGCCCTGACCTCCCATCCCTGCCTCTGCAGCCCCTCAAGACCCTCTCCCGAGAGCGTCCACTACCCAACATCTTCAACCTGTACACAATCCTCACGGTGATGTTCCAGTTCTTCGTGCACTTCCTGAGCCTTGTCTACCTGTATAGGGAGGCCCAGGCCCGGAGCCCTGAGAAGTGAGTGCGGCCCCCAGAAGAGGTAATACTCCTGCAGTTAGGAATGGCAGGAGGATGAATGTGCAGACATTGACAGGAGAGCCTGTGGGTCATCTGGGGCCAGGGAGGGACACAAAGCCAGGCCAGTGTGGTCAGCCAAGCAGGGGCCTGGCTCTTTGCCAGAGCAGCAGGGAGCCATAGAGGGTGTGTGAGCAGGAGAGGGAGCCCTGACCCCCACGCATCCCCGCAGGCAAGAGCAGTTTGTGGACCTGTACAAGGAGTTTGAGCCAAGCCTGGTCAACAGCACTGTGTACATCATGGCCATGGCCATGCAGATGGCCACCTTTGCCATCAACTACAAGGTGAGGCCTGGCCCCCCGCCCTAAGCACGCCCCACCTGCCCACCCAGCACCCACCACATGCAGCCAGCTGTCCATCCCCGCAGGGCCCGCCCTTCATGGAGAGTCTTCCCGAGAACAAGCCCCTGGTGTGGAGCCTAGTGGTGTCACTCCTGGCTATCGTCGGCCTGCTCCTCGGCTCTTCGCCTGACTTCAACAGCCAGTTTGGCCTCGTGGACATCCCTGTGGAGGTGAGTGGACCTGAGGCAACTAGGGCTTGACTTGGCTAGCTGTGGGTCTCTGTTTCACTGCCCCTCCTGTGGAGGTGACCTGGCCCCAGTTGCAGGTCCCCAGCTCACTGCCCTCCCTGCCCTGACAGTTCAAGCTGGTCATCGCCCAGGTCCTGCTCCTGGACTTCTGCCTGGCGCTCCTGGCCGACCGCGCCCTACAGTTCTTCCTGGGGACCCCGAAGCTGAAAGTGCCTTCCTGAGATGGCAGTGCTGGCATCCACTGCTCACCCTGGCTGCCGCTGGGCAGGAACCTGCCAGGGCCCTGGGAGGGAACACTGCCCTCCGCCCCCTACAGCAAGGCCGTCCAGCCTTGCCCTTGGAAGACTGAGCTGGGACCCCCACAGCCCTCCAGTGGCCTGGCTGGTAGAACCAGCCCTGGGCCAGCACCTTTGGTAAATAAAGAAGCATCTGAGATTTTAAGAAGCCCTGCCTCCACCTCTGACTGTGCCATACCATGTTTACCGGGGGGCTGTAGGGGTCAGGTGGTCACTGAGGAAGGTTCCAACACCCTCCCCACAGGCCATGTGAGGTTGTTAATGATGACACCCTCTATAGCACGTTCAGCACTGTAGCACTCTGGGCCCCCAGCCTAGAGAACTCTATATTTTCTAGTGTGACAATCACCTGAGTATTTCATTGGTCTCAGTTTCTCATTTTAATAACTCAAGGCACTTGAGGAGCCTTAGGATTGGTGCTATTTTTCCCTATCCCCGTAATACCTAAAATGACAGCGTGCCTTCCTCTCGGTGTCTTGTAAAGAATGTGGTCCACATTGTTCCAAATACCGACTGAGGTCACACCATCTCACTTCACAGACAGGCAGCAGGTCCAGGGGGCTGGCTCTGACTGGGGTCTGAACTGCCAGGATGTGACTCAGAAGCTTCACTCAGCCCTTGTACCACTAGTGTTGTTCCTTTCAAAGGACTCATCCCAATTCAAGAATGGTGGAGGAGGCAGCATGAGAGCCTTGCTTCTAAAACCTTTCAGAAGCAAAGTTATAAACATACTTCCAAGTATTTCCACCCACACATTCCAATGAGTGCTGGCCGTGGGCACCTTTTCATAACTGATAAGCTGCTCATGGCAACTCTCAGGCCAGGGCTTCCGGACAAGTCCCACTCCCCACCCTTTACTCTCAGCTGCTTCATGGTCCATCAGGTAGAGTGTGACCAGTGGCCTGAGGAAGTCCCTGGGAGCAGGAGCAAGGTCTGGCAGAGGAATGGGCGGGTCTCAGGAAGAGACATCAGACCCCACAGCAGGCGGGCCCTGCAGTCATGAATGAAGGAAAGGCCCTGACTCCCTGAGGTAGAGATGATTCACAGAGGGCCTAGGACAGTGGACCTCTCTGTCCCCCTCATGCCTAAAAGAGGCACTCTCTAGCTGTGCTGTAATCAGGGTCTCAAGAACCTGATTCAGGTTTAAAGGTCACTGTGGGTTCCCCAGGACTGAAGCGTCGGACTTAAGAGCGTTACAATTCGATTGGAATCGGCCACGACTTCAGGCCTCCACCAGGGGGCGCCATGGCTACGGTCGGGCCCGGATGGGTTGGGGTCCCAGGGACCCCTGGCACGGGGGTCACTGGGTCTTCATGGGCTGGAAGGTCCCCGGACAGGCGCCAGGGGCTGGGCGGGCTCCGTGGGATCACTGGGGGCGGGGAATGCCGTGGCTCCGTGGGATCTGGGGCAGCAGAAAGACCTGAGGAGAGAAAGCGTGGCCCGGACGGGTCCTGAGGTGCCCAGGTCCGGGGCTCTGCGCGCTGTTGGCCGCTCGGGGGTCTCGGCCCCACGGTGTCGCGGGCGGCGCCGGCCCCGCCATAGGGCTTCCGGGCTGTGGGGCGGGGCCGCCTGGCGGGGGCGTGGCCTCGGCTGGGCGGGGCGACGCGGAAACCGGGCATCGGCCGCAGCAGCGGCAGGAAATCGGGGCTGGGCCCCGCCGGCGCGCGACCCTGTCCCCACCCCGGTCCCCGCCGAGCGACACCCGGTCCTAGCCATGGATGCAGCAGAGCCGGGTAGGGGTTCTGGGATTCGGGAGGGACCTCACCAGACGATCCTCTCACCTCCTAAATTGAGGGGCTATACGCCTGTCGCTCTCCATCTGGAGAGCCGGGAAAGGAGTTCCTGAATGGGAAGGCTGCAGGGATCCCCCGTTGTGGGGACCCTCATACCAGGAGGGGCCTGTGACACCAGCCCTGACTCCCCCATCCCCCTTCCTATCCCTTACCCCGGTCGCCTGGGGGAGGGGGCCCAGGAAGGGGAAGTGGCCGCTTCTGCTTCTGATTTTTGTGATGGGGGCAGGGTGTCACGCCGCTGAGGGAGAGGGAGAGGGCAACACGATAGCGTCCCCACAGGGTTCCATAGCCCGGGAAACAGGCAGTGCTGATCTGGGGCCACTAGAAGAGGGGGCAGGGGCGGCAGCAGAAACGTGACAAGGTCCGACTTGTGCTTCCGGCTGTCTTTGTGTCTGTAGTGTATGTGGAGTGTCATTCTGTCTTTATGTCCCTCGTGGTTTCAGTCCCTCCATGTGTGTTTCTGCCTCAGGCTCTGTTCTCTTCTGTCCCATGTGCATTTCCATCTGTCTGGCCTGGGGTCCACGTGGTTCCATTGTCAAGCCAGGTCTCTTTCTTGGGACAGAGTGGCAGCATCTGGGGCATCTGTTTTGTTGCTTCTGGGTCCACGTAGACCCCTGAGCAGCTGTCTCTGTTTGGTAGTGTCTGCGTCCATCTGCCTGCCCAAAGTTGGCCCCTCCCAAGCCCACTCTCCCTCCATCCCACACTCCACACTGTCTCTCTCCCTCTTTCTCTCTCCTACTCCCCAGCCCCACCGCCCCTTCCTAATGAGACTGGTTGTGGTGCAGTAGGTAGAGGGAGGCAGTGGTTGGCCCATGTCTTACACTCCCTTCCCCCAGCTCCTGAGGGCAGGAAGAGGTACAGTGACATCTTTCGGAGCCTGGACAACCTTGAAATCTCACTGGGGAACGTGTGAGTCTGGGCCTGGGTCATCCTCAAATCCTGCCAGGATCCACCAAATCCCTAACCATTTAGGTGTCCTTAAGCCTCACTTGGAACCTGCAACATCTGGACCAACTTATCTAATAATCTGAGCGGTCTAGGATGGAACCCTCCAAGACACCTGTATATCCCAAAAGTCACCCCCCAAAATCGACTGGAAATCTCCAAAGTGGTCCTAGGACCCCCACATATCCTTCTTGTGACCCCTTAGAACATTTGAGATCCCTCTGTAATATATTCTCACTATATGAACTCCAAAGTTACCTGGGGCCCTTCAAATGCTACCTCGAGTCTCATTAAAAAAACTCACCTGGTTCCCTCAAAACCCCATTCTTCAGACCTCCCAGATACAAGAGATGCCACAGAGGTGATGTCCAGGACCATTCCCCAAACTGCCCCAGTGTCCCCAGCAGCCCTCAGCAGGACAGACTGGGTGGAGGGTGGCATCCTGACACCCTTACCCCCCAGGACCCTTGAGATGCTGGCTGGAGACCCTGTACTCCCAGGAGACCCAGAGCCTAACAAGGCCCCCCTAGCTGCTGTGGTAAGTGAGGAGTGGGGGGACAGGGAGGAGGAACCTCAGGAAGAGGGGCATCAGGGAGGCAACGCCCCTGCCCTGTCTGCTGCTGAATGCCATGTCCCTCCCACCAGAACAGTGAAGCCAGCTGTTGGAGCAGCCCCTGCCCAGAGGGTCCTGCACCCCTCACAGGTAGGGGGCTTTGAGACCAGGACTATGGGGGCAGAAGAGAGTCCTTCCTTCAACAAGTCACCATTGACCACCTGTTCCATGCTAGGCATTGTCTGGGGCCAAGAACGTGGCAGTGCACATAATAGATCCCAGCCCCTGCCCTCAGGGAGCCGCCAGTCTGAGTAGAGAATCTGTAAAATTACAACCAGGACAAATGATCCCACAGGGATGTTTGGGGAGCTATGAGGGTGTAGGACAGGGGCCACTCACTGGCCTGGCCTGGGGCCTCAGAGAAGGCTTCCACAAGAGGGTAGGGTTCAGAATCAGGGGTCCACCCATCTGCCCCAGGGGAGGAACTGGACTTGCGGCTCATTCGGACCAAGGGAGGTGTCGATGCAGCCCTGGAATATGCCAAGACCTGGACCCGCTATGCCAAGGAGCTGCTGGCCTGGACAGAGAAGAGAGCCAACTATGGTGAGGACCCTTTCTGCCCCCACCCTTGGCCAGATGCAGTGTCCAAACCCCAGCTGGACCCAGAACCCCTGCTGTTTCTCCCTGCAGAGCTGGAGTTTGCTAAAAGCACCATGAAGATCGCCGAAGCTGGCAAGGTGTCCATCCACCAGCAGGTAGCCATGACCAACCCCCCCCCGAGAGCTCAAAGCCCACAGAATCCCAGTCTTGCCCCCACAGATCCTCAGTGGCCTCCTATACTCTCCCCCACCCCCAGGCCCAGAGCCACATGCCTCTGCAATACATCTATACCTTGTTTCTGGAGCACGACCTCAACCTGGGAGCCCTCGCCATGGAGACAGTGGCCCAGCAGAAAAGAGACTACTACCAGGTAAGGGGGTGTAAAGGGGCACCCTATTGTCCTTCACATGCCCAGTAACCAGGGAGGAAGGCGTCACTGCCATCATCACCATTTTACTGATGAGGAAGCTGAGGCCCAGGGATGCTCTGAAACTTGCCCAAGGTCACCCAGCAGAGATTCAAACCCGGCTTCCTGTGCCATTGCAAAATCATCGCGCTTCTATTTGTTTGTGGGGAGCGGCAGGAGGTGCTGAGTGTTCTTAGGAGAAAGTCTCAGTGTCTCTGGGTCCAGGCAGAAAGAATGGGGTGACCACTGAGGCTCTGGGTGGGGACACCAGGCTGGGGGACAGCTAGTCTGAATGAGAAGACCTTGGGGGAAGGAGGGTGGAGAATAGACACTCAGAAGGTCCAGAGCAGGCAAGGCACGTGGGTGCGGGAGTAGAAGGATGGGGTGGATCCTCTGCGGTGGCCCGGAGGCAGCATGCCCATTCCCCACCCTTGCCAGCCCCTGGCTGCCAAACGGACTGAGATTGAGAAGTGGCGGAAGGAGTTCAAGGAGCAGTGGGTGAAGGAGCAGAAGCGGATGGTGAGACCTGGCATGGGTGGGGGGCGGGCTGAAGGAGGACAGGCAGTGACACTGACGTTCCTGGCGCCACCCCCAGAACGAGGCGGTGCAGGCACTGCGGCGGGCCCAGCTCCAGTACGTGCAGCGCAGTGAGGACCTACGGGCGCGTTCCCAGGGGTCCCCTGAGGATCCGGCCCCCCAGGCCTCACCTGGACCCAGCAAGCAGCAGGAGCGGCGAAGGCGCTCGCGAGAGGAGGCCCAGGCCAAGGTGGGGACCGGGCCATGAGCCCCTTCAGCGCTTCGTGGCCCCCCACTGCCCTACGCTGTCTGCCCCATGTGCTCTCTGGCCTTGGTTTCCCCAGGCGCACGAGGCAGAGGCGCTGTACCAGGCCTGCGTCCGCGAGGCCAACGCACGGCAGCAGGACCTGGAGACCGCCAAGCAGCGGATCGTGTCCCACGTGCGCAAGCTGGTGTTGCAGGGGGACGAAGTGCTGAGACGCGTGAGGCCTTTCCCATGGCCGCCCTGCCCTCACCCTGTTTGGGCCCCAGCTGAGTCCCGCCCCATCCTGCCTCCCGCCCCTAAGCCACGCTGGGGCACCTGGTGCTCTGGGTGTCCGTTTCCCCCCACTGCCAGTTCTCACCCCAGACCTGACCGCACCTCAGTCTCAGCCCCACCGCTATGGGGTCCTGTCCCAGGGTGATCCGGCTACCTTAGTCCCTAAGCCGGCCCACTGTGACAGGCCCCGCCCACAAGCCCTCACCTGGATCCGGATCCGACCTTTAAGGGTCAGGCCCTGCCCTACCTCTGGCTCCGCCCCCAGGCTTCCAGGCCCCGCCCCTCCTTGACCTGCAGTCTCCACACCGCAGGTGACCCTGGGCCTGTTCCAGCTAAGGCGGGCGCAGGCAGAGCGTGGTCCCCGTGCCTTCGCCGCCCTGGCCGAGTGCTGTGAGCCCTTTGAGCCCGGCCAGCGCTACCAGGAGTTCGTGCGGGCGGTGCAGCCTGAGCCCCCGCCGCCCCCACCGCCCGCCTTCTCCTTCCAGGAGTTCATTCCCTCGGCACACAGGTGGGCCGCAGGAGTGGGGTGGGGAAGGAACCCCTGAGTCATGATGCCAGGCTGTTGGCACTCTGCCAGCATGGGGATGGGTACTCGAGGTCAGAGAATTCAAAACCTCTGGAATTTTATTACTTTGGAGGTTTTCCAGGAGTTGGAGGGTTGTCCCTTTCCTGGGCGGGACAGGACTTAGGGACTATTGCATTCAAGGGGCCATGATGCCCGGCGCAGAGGCTCACACCTGTAATTACAACATTTTTGGAGGCAGAGGTAGGTAGGAGGATGGCTTGAAGCCACGAGTTGGACACCAGCCTGGGTAACACAGTGAGACATCATCTCTACAAAAAATGTGTAAAATGAGTGGAGCCTGGTGGCAGGTGTCTGTAGTTCTAGTTACTCCAGAGGGAGGCTGAGGCAGGAGGATCCCTTGAGCCTAGTATTAAAGGCTGCAGTGAATTATGATTGGGCCACTGCACTACAGCCTGGGCAACAGAGTGAGGCCCTGTCTCTAAAAAAATGGAAAAAAAAGAAAAAGCGGCCAGGATGCTCATGAGCATCAAGGTTTGCAGACCCAAGTACTTGGAGCTGGGACCTAGACACAATGCCTGGGTGCCATCTTTCCAGGCCAGTTTCATAGGGATCAAGCCCTCAAGCCCCTGTCCTTTTAGCTCCCCTCTGGACACCAGAAAGAAACTCTCCGGGCCCCCACCTCCAAGGCTGGATGAGAGTTCAGCTGAGCCAGGCACTTGGGAGGACTCAGGCACCAGCTGGCAGGGTAAGTGCAGTGGGGGCTGGGTGGGGCAGTACCAGGGCAAGGGGCTGTCCTTATTGACCTGTCCCTACCTAGGGACTCCAGGCCCCACGCCAGGCAGTGATGTGGACAGCGTGGGCGGCGGCAGTGAGTCTCGATCCATGGACTCTCCCACTTCCAGCCCAGGTGGGGATAGGACCTGGCCCTGACCCACAGCCCACCTCTGACCATGCTCCAGACCCTAGCCAAGCTCTGACCCTCAATCTCTAACCCCACACCCCTGACCTGTTTCCTTTTCCTCTACCCCATTCTCTTGATCCAACTTCTGAAAACCACCCCCAAGTTGTTGACCCATTCTCCAACCCTTAAACACTGACCTGTCTGATACCCCCTCCTGACCTCTGACTCCTTCCCCGTGGGATCTGTGAGTAGTTCTGGAAGCCTTGGAATCTCCCATGACCCCTGTGACCCCCAACCTCTATGACTCTCTGACCCCAGGCCCTGACACACGGCGGCTGGTGAAGGTTTCATCTATAGGCACCGAGTCCTCAGATGACTTTGAGGAGCGAGACCCTGGTGAGGCTGGAAGCAGGTGGGACAGGATGGGACACAAGGTGGACCAGGCATCCCTGACCCTGTCTCCCTGCAGACCTGGGAGACGGGCTGGAGAATGGGCTGGGCAGCCCCTTGAAGAAGTGGACGCTGTCCAGCGCAGCTCAGACCCACCGGCTGCGGCGGCTGCGGGGCCCAGCCAAGTGCCGCGAGTGCGAAGCCTTCATGGTCAGCGGGATCGAGTGTGAGGAGGTGTGGTTTTGCCTGATGACCAAATGACTTCTGCTGACCCCTAATCACCTCCCTGACCAGAGATCCCTACAACCTCCCTGCCCGTGAACTTGCCCTGATCTAATGATCTCCTAAAATACCCATGTTCCCCAAGGAGCACTATGACCTTCTCTTCCCCCACTGGCCCCCAATGACCTTCCTAACCCTGTGACCTTCCCGCAGTGCTTTCTGACCTGCCACAAGCGCTGCCTTGAGACTCTGCTGATCCTCTGTGGACACAAGCGGCTCCCTGCCCGGACACCCCTCTTTGGGGTCGACTTCCTGCAAGTGCCCAGGGACTTCCCAGAAGAGGTTCCCTTTGTGGTCACCAGGTGCACAGCCGAGATAGAACACCGCGCCCTGGGTGTGCAGGTGCCACCTTGATCCCTGACTGTCCCCAGAAGTGACCCAACCCTGTCGATGGCTGGATCATGAGCCAGGTATCCCTTTCCTGCTCTTGCTCTGCAGGGCATTTACCGGGTCAGCGGCTCCCGGGTCCGGGTGGAGCGGCTGTGCCAGGCTTTTGAGAATGGCCGTGCATTGGTGGAGCTCTCAGGGAACTCGCCTCACGATGTCTCGAGTGTGCTCAAGCGATTTCTCCAGGAGGTGGGTGCTCAGGGGATTGTGGGGGGACTCAGGTTGAGGACCCTCCACAGCATACCCACACTCTTGTCACCCCCAACCATTCCACCCCCAGCTCACCGACCCCGTGATCCCCTTCCACCTCTACGACGCCTTCATCTCTCTGGCTAAGACCCTGCATGCAGACCCTGGGGACAACCCCGGGACCCCCAGCCCCAGCCCTGAGGTTATCCGCTCGCTGAAGACCCTCTTGGTACAGCTGCCTGACTCTAACTACAACACCCTGCGCCACCTGGTGGCCCATCTGTTCAGGTGTGCATGGGTCCCTGAGCCTTGAAATGTGACCCCCTTCCCTGGACATGTGACTACTGACCTACAGCTGACCCCTGACACTCATCTCTGACCTTTAACATGTACTTTCTGAACTCTGAACCTTAATATGTGACTGGTAACTTTGGGTACTGACCCCTGAACCCCAACTCTGGGCATGTCGCTGCTGGTCTCAAACAGTGATCAAGACAACTTAGGCATCACATGGTCAAGTCACTGCTAGGCTGGCCTGTGGGTCCTACCCTTACCCTCATCCCGTGCCCTGACCCTTCTCATACTATCTCCAGGGTGGCTGCACAGTTTGAGGAAAACAAGATGTCTGCCAACAATTTGGGCATTGTGTTTGGGCCAACACTGCTGCGGTCACCAGATGGTCCATGGGCAGCTGGCAGCATCCCTGTCACCTGCCTGCTGGACTCCGGGCACCAGGCCCAGCTTGTGGAATTCCTCATCGTGCACTACGAGCAGATCTTCGGGATGGATGAGCTGCCCTTGGCCACTGAGCCCCCACCCCGAGACTCCAGCCCCCAGCTGCTACTGCCACACCTTGGCCCGGAGCCCCAGCCCCCAGCCCTAGCCTTGGACCCTGACCCAGACCCCAAGCCCCAGATTGCCCTGGAGAAGCATGCTGAGGCCACGCCCCCCGAGGTAGGAACCCACTGGCCCCATGGACGTGGACAGGGCCTTCTCTCTGTTTAATTCTGACACTCTCTGTCTTGTCTTCCTTCCTTCCTTTCCCTTTAAAATCTCTTTCATTCTCTTCCTCTCTTCCTCCTCATTTAACCCGCACTCATTCTGGAAGGAATAGTGGGGGATGGAGTGGTTGGCAATGATGGATCACAGCAGGAGACAGCCCTGCAAAGGTACTAACGTGGGTGACCATTCATTCCTTCCACAGAATATGTACTGAACACTTGCTACATGCCAAGGATTGTTCTGGGCATTGCAGATACACCAGTGAGCTAAATATTCAAAGACCCCATCCTCTCAGCGCCTACATTCCGGTGGGGAAAGATCAACAATAAACAAAAACTATGACACAAAGGCAGTTACATAGGACATTACGAGGTGACAGTGAGGAGTGTAATAGCGAACAGAAAGGGTATGGTGAGGAACAGGACAGCAGAAGCACCAAGGTAAGAGGTGGAGGGGCAGTTTGTAGCAGTAAGTAGGACAGTGTGGGCAGGTCTCACGGAGAAGGTGGATTTGCACAAAGGCTGGAAGGATATAAAGGAGGAGCAAGCCATGTAGAGATCTGGGGAAGGGTGTTTCAGGCAAGGGAACAGCCAGTGAAAAGGCCCTGTGGTGGAAGCATGTCTGGTGTTCAGGACACAGCCCTATCCTGTAATGAATCAGGGGAAGGTGGTGGGAAGTAAGGCCAAAGAGGAGTGGGCCCAGATGGCTCTGCCAGCTGCCACTGACCTCGCACCTGCTATGCATGGGGCACAGACCACTGATAGATGCACACCTACTATGCACGGGGTACCATATAGGCTTCCTGTCATCCTCTCCACAGTCCTGGTAGGCCCAGAGTGGTTAAGTGACCCTAAAAGGGGAGCCATTGCAGGTGAATCTTTAACAGAGCTCACCCATCAGGATCCAGAACTCAGCTAGGAACCAGGAAGATGGCGGCAATGGCCAAAACAATCCACACCCAAGGCCTGCGCTCCTGGTATCCTGCTACACCTGCCATTCCTGAGAACAAGGACATCCCCCATAGCAGCTCAGAGCTGGGAAGGGCTGCCAGTGAGCTGTGGGTCTCTGAGAACTGGAATGGTTCATAAAGTGAAAAGCAAGAACTCAATGTAGAAAGAACTCAAGCTGCTATTACCATTTAGCTAAAGGCAGAACAGTGAACAAACACAGATATACTAGAAAGCAGAGGTAAGCTTCATGCGGTTGCAGAGAGCAGCGCAAGATGGTAGTTCAGAGGCATTGCCTAGTCCTGATGTGGAGATGGCTGAGCTGCTCCCTGAATTTTTGTTTGTTTATATGTTTGTTTGTTTGTTTGTTTGTTTCCTTGAGACAGGGTCGCACTTTGTTGCCCAGGCAGGAGGGCGGTGACATGATCATAGCTCACTGCAACCTTGAACTCCTGGGCTCAAGTAATCCTCCTGTCTTGGCCTCCTGAGTAGGTGGGACTACAGGTGTGCACCACCATGCCTGGCTAATTTTTGTATTTTTTGTAGAGATGGGGTCTCACTATGTTGCTTAGGCTGTTCTCAAACTCCTAGCCTCAAGCAATCCTCTCTCCTCGGCCTCCCAAAGTGCTGGAATTACAGGCGGGAGCCACCCCACTCAGCCAAGCAGTACACTTTTAAGAGCATCTTCTATCCCCACAATTGCAAAGGAATTTTTGAAACTCCAGGAACAAGCCCTCAGCTCTCCAAGAGTATCAAAGACCTGAGATTTTATTGTTGGGGTCCCATTTTTGGGTTTCTCCCTGCAGATTCCAACTCCACAAGGTGACCAGAGAGAGGAAGAGGCTGAAGACACCAAAGATGGGGAAGGGGAAGGTGAGTTTATTGTGGAGTGGCTCAGAAGTTCTAGGGGTGCCCCTGCCCCAGGGTGGCTTAGCTGAGAGATGACTCCTGGGGGGATGTCCAGAGAACTTGGGCATGCTCAGCATTGACCACCCCACCCCACAGCATTCAGCCAAGGCCCTGAGGACTTACTCCTGGGGACACAGTCTCGAGGCCACTTCAGCCGCCAGCCAGTGAAGTATCCCCGGGGGGGCATGCGGCCTGTCACCCACCAGCTGTCCAGCTTGGCCCTGGTGGCTTTCAAGCTGTGCGAAGAGACCCCAGTCACATCAGTGCCCAGAGGGAGTTTGCGGGGGCGGGGGCCTGGCCCTGCTGCCACCTCCCGTGAGGGCAGCCCCCTGCGCCGTGCCCCGCTGCCTAAGCATTTTGAGATCACCCAGGAGACAGCCCGGCTACTCTCCAAGCTGGACAGTGAGGCTGTGCCCAAGGCCACCTGCTTCCCGGAGCCCCAGCCCGAGGAAGCGGAGGACCATCTCTGACCACTCTACCAGCCTGACTAAGGAAGGTGCCCAGGACTGAGAAGATGGACCCATGTCTCCCCAGCTCCCTCAGTTGGTGGCCAAACATTGGGCCAGGAGTTCAATGTTGGGGGGAGGGTCCAGAGAATTCCTGTAACTTAAGACTACATGGCTGGAAGGAGGCCTAAAACCTTTGTGGGGGCAATGTCCCAGCATCCCCCAAGACACAGGTCATTGCCAAGCAGCAGGGCCACTCAGGCTCAGAGGTCACTCAGGGTCAATACTCAGGGTCAATACAGGTCATGAGATCCTTGGGGTCTGCCCTAGTCTCCTACTTCTGGACACGGGTGCCTTTTGTTACTTTAGTTGTAGTCACTCCCTCATCCCTGCCTGCCTCCCTCCCTGACTCCAAGTGACCCGTTCCTGGAGGAGGTGGACAGCCCAGACTCTACATCCTGGTGGTGCCCAGGGTCTGGGGTCTGATGGCCTCTGAATAAACTGTGTCCTCTGTACCCTTGTAGGTCTGTCTCTGCTGGTTAAGGCTTGCTGGCTTGCAGGGGAGAGATGGCAGTGAGGGCAGTACCCTTTGGCCCCATATTACCGACCAGGCAAACCGAGGCCCCATTCCTTTATCCCCAAACTCCCGGGGAGCACCTACAGGCAACTGGAGCTGAGTCATGCCGGCCCGGCCCTCCCGCAGCCCCGCGTCCCCGACTGGCCCTGCGCAGTCAAACAAATACAGTGTAACAAAGTGCAGATAACCGGGACAATGGAGCTGTGTGCACTGGATCGTGGGAGCCTGGGGACGACGTGAAGACGAGAGGAGGCTGCAGGGCAGGGCCGTGCAGGGGACAGCGCCGTCCCGGGGTGAGGGGCGCCGGGGCGGGATTGCAAAGATTGAGTGCGCAAAGACTGGAGGTCAGCTGGGGCCGCGGGTCGCGAGGCGCGGAGGCAGCGCCACAGGCGCGAGCAAGCAGAGCCGAGCTGGGCCGGGGTCCCGGCGGTGGGAGCCAAGTCGGATCAGGGCGTGGCTAGTAGCTCGGCGGCCGATTGGACGCGAGGGAGAGCGCGGGGTGGGGCTGGGAGGGTGAGGAGTCAGGAGGGGGCGCGGACCCCGAGACCACCCGGAGCTGCGGCCCGGCGGGCGAGGTCGCGGCGGGGATCCTCGGGTCGCTGAGTGACTCGGCCCCGAAGGCTCGAGACTGCAGGCCCGTAAGGTGTGCAGGGGCCGGGGTGGGGGTCCCGCGCCGGAAATGGAGAGGGGCGACCGAGGGGCCGCGAAGCCGGGAGGAAATAGCGGGCTGCGGTTCCGGGCGACCCCGCCCCCGGCACGGCCGCGGAGGCGGGGCTTCCCCAGGTGGTGGGGGCGGGGCGGGGCTCCCCAGGTGGTGGGGGCGGGGCGCCAGGGCCCGGCCGCGGGGGCGGGGCCGCGGGGGAGGGACCCCGCCTCCCGCGCACTCTCGGCGCCCGCGCCGGGCACACCCGGACGCTCCTCGGCTCTCGCTGCCGGGCCATGGGCCTCCGGCCTGTCCCGACCCCCCGCGAGCCCGACCGGTCTGCGGCGCGACGGGCGGCCCAGGTGAGGCCAGCACGGACGGGAGGCGGGTGGGCACGGCTCCAGGGGAGGGCGCGGCACGTGCCAGCGGGACTGGGGTGCCGCCCCTGCTCCCTTGCCCTACCCACTCCCCAGCCTGGGGGCGCCGGGAGGCCCGGCCGGCCGTGGCCTCCGGGACCCGCTGGCTTTGTCCCAGAGTTCGCCAGGGTCCTTGTCCCGCCCGGAGCGGCTCGGTGCCCCGCCCGTTTCGAAAGCACTCGCGCCCAAATCCTGCCGCCCAGCTTCTGAGGCGGCCTCTCCGCACACGCTAGTCAGCCGGTCGCCTCCGCGCCGCAGCACCGCCCACCCGCCCGGGGCGTCCCAGCCGGTGACCTCCCCTCGTGCACACGCTCCCCAGTCTCTGCTCCAGGCACTGACCCTCCCTCATCTCGTCCCGCACAGCTCGCCCCTTTGTCCTGCCCTACTCTCCTTAATCCCCAGCCCCACTGGGTCACAGACGGGTGGCATGTGTGCGGGATTGGACTGTACACGGGTTTTGTTTCGCTTCTCCAGGTTACCAACACAAGGCATTGACTTGGGTGACAGCTTCCAGAAAGGTCTTATTAGTAGGTAAGAGACAATTGTTCCCCTGCCCCCACCCCACGGAGCTTGCTTCTTCCAGATCACCACTGTCCACTTTGCTGCGAGACATCTGAGTTTGAGACCCTTGCCCTGTCTGTCCTGACCCTCCTCTCTGGCTGCTGCCCCCTCCTGTATCTTTCCAACAGGGCCACATTCACTGATCTCTCTCTTTCTCTGTGCCCCCAGCCGGTCACTATGGGCCAGTGCTACTACAACCAGACCATTGGCTTCTTCTACAACAACAGTGGCAAGGAGCTTAGCTCTCACTGGCGGCCCAAGGATGTGATAGTGGTGGCCCTGGGGCTGACTGTCAGTGTGCTGGTGTTGCTGACCAACTTGCTGGTCATAGCAGCCATCGCCTCCAACCGCCGCTTCCACCAGCCCATTTACTACCTGCTGGGCAACCTGGCTGCCGCAGACCTCTTTGCCGGTGTGGCCTACCTCTTCCTCATGTTCCACACGGGTCCACGCACTGCTCGGCTCTCGCTTGAGGGCTGGTTTGTGCGGCAGGGCCTGCTGGACACAAGCCTCACGGCGTCAGTGGCCACACTGCTGGCCATCGCCGTAGAGCGGCACCGCAGCGTGATGGCGGTGCAGCTGCACAGCCGCCTGCCCCGTGGCCGTGTGGTCATGCTCATCGTGGGCGTGTGGGTGGCTGCGCTGGGCCTGGGGCTGCTGCCTGCCCACTCCTGGCACTGCCTCTGTGCCCTGGACCGCTGTTCGCGCATGGCCCCCCTGCTCAGCCGCTCCTACCTGGCCGTCTGGGCACTGTCCAGCTTGTTTGTCTTCCTGCTCATGGTGGCCGTCTACACCCGAATTTTCTTCTATGTGCGGCGGCGAGTGCAGCGCATGGCGGAGCACGTCAGCTGCCACCCTCGCTACCGAGAGACCACACTGAGCCTGGTCAAGACCGTTGTCATCATCCTGGGTGAGTGGGGCCCTCCTCAGCTCATCCAGGGCCACAGGAACTCCACCTCCCCTACCCCCAAAAGACTCTGGGAGACAATGAACAAAACAAGTGACCTGACAGTGACCTGATAGAGCGTAATGGGAGGGGATGATCGGGTGAGGAATATTCTCCAGGGACATGACATCTGAGGAGAGACCTGAGTGCTGGGGAAAGGAAAAGAGAACATAGAAGGTGACAACCCTAAGGCAGGACCAGACCAGAGCCTCCAAGGACGAAAGGCTAGGCCTGTGAGCAGGAGAGGTCAGCAGGGCCCCAGGGGGCAAGGACAGGAGTCATATTTTGTTCTGAGTGTTTGGTGAAGCCCTTAAGAGTTTTTAGCAGGGGTGGTGTGGTTGCTAAGAGTTTTTGGCAGAGGTAATGTGGTCACTCTGGCTATTGGATGTACAGTAGACTGGGTGGGGGAGGTGTCAGGGACTCCACCCCTGAGGCTACACCCGACCTTCCATAACGAGGACCAACGCTGCCCAATGATTCCTTTCTCCCAACCAAGTAAGCATCCTGTCCCATGGTGACCTCCTTTCCCTCACTGAACAAATCTCCATGTCGAAACGTCTAGGGCCCTACCCACAGAATACCAGTTAGGAAAGGTCCCTTCTTAGCAGATTGCACAGTGATTGCCCCAGCCCTGAGCTCAGAGCGGTAGGTGCCAGGCCTTCTGACACTGCCTTGCTCACCTCGGCCTCCATCCCACAGGGGCATTTGTGGTCTGCTGGACACCAGGCCAGGTGGTACTGCTCCTGGACGGTCTGGACTGCAAATCCTGCAATGTCCTGGCTGTAGAGAAGTATTTCCTACTCTTGGCCGAGGCCAATTCGCTGGTCAATGCTGTAGTGTACTCATGCCGAGATGCTGAGATGCGCCGCACCTTCCGCCACCTCCTCTGCTGCGTGTGCCTCCGCCGGTCCACTCACGCTTCTGCCCGCTGTGCATCCTCTGCCCAGGCAAGTGCCAGCACTCGTATCATGCTTCCTGAAAATGGCCACTCCCTGATGGACTCCACTCTTTAGCTACCTTGGACTTCAGCAGGATGCTGCAAGCACCACATCTGCAGCCGCTGATGCAGTGCCTGGCTCAGCCCAACCAGTGGGATGGACTTAAAGGCAGATGCCTGGCCTGGCACGGCACAGCACAGCACACTGCCAGGCCTCCCCAGGCACACAGCTATGCCTACCCACGGCACAGGGGTCTGGGGTCATCTCCAAGTGCCTGGGAGAGTCAGATGGGGTGCAGGAATCTGGCTCTCCAGTCATCTCAGGTTTGGGGTTTTATTAACGGACATTTTTCTATTTTTACTTTATATCCCTGGTAAGCCCTGTGGACTGAACGGTTCCTCCTGTATGATGCCGTGAGTGTTAAGGGTGGGAGAGACGAGGGCTGTCTCCGGCCGTCATGCCCCGTGTGACAGGATAACAAAGATGGACTGTGGACACACCATCTTTCTGAAGGTGATTCTTTAGCAGCACAAACTAAGGGGTGCTGAGCTGGGAAAGGTTTGTGGCCCCAGGCATCCTCCACGGGCTGGCTTGTCCCTGTCAGAATTGAGGGGTCCACGGGGAGGGGATGATACGAGGAGTAAACCTTTCTTTTCACTCTGAGGTCTCTAAAGCATTTTTTGTTATCAATTTAGACAGTTTGTCTGTCCCTGTGTCCATAAATTATCCACCTTGGCTCAGGCCTGGCAGGGATCCTTCAACGTGGCATCCCTCTGGCCCTGTTTTCATTCCTCTTCAGCCTCTGGCTGGCCATTACTCTTTCTTGGTGAGGTCTTGCATCTGTCCCTTGCTTTCTCTGTTGTTTGTCTCCTCCTTCTATTCCTGCCTCCATCTGGCCACCTGCCTGCCTGTCTTCCTCCTCTGAAGCCCAAGGCGGTCTCTGGCCCATATGAGCCTTCTCACTCCTGCCTGCCCTCTTGTCTGAGTCCAGATTGTTAAAAGTCACATCCCCGGCTATGTCTATCCCAGTCCCTACCCTATGCCCTATGTTCACACTGGGAGCCACAGATAGTGGGGTCCAGGTAGCAGGAAGCAGAACTTGAGAGCTGGCACACCGATGGCACTTTAGGTACGTTATTTAATCATCACCTGCATCTTATGGCACAGATATTACATCTGTTTTCACATGAGGACAGTGGCTCAGACAGGTTGCAACCTGGTCCATGGTTGCACAGCTTGGAAAGGGCACAGAAACGCATTGAAAGTTCCCTGGGAAAGGGCTTCAGATTCCCACAAAGCCCAGAGTTGGTCACAAGCTCATCCAGGCACTTTCCTCACCTCACCCCACAGCCCCAAAGTCTCAAATGTGCCAGCCCCATGATGAGCCCCCTCTCAGATACCCCTGCCAGGCAGTGTGGCCCAGGACCTGGGCTCTCTGCCCCCATGTGACCAGTGAGGATATGGGGTTATGTTTCTACTTCAGTTTCCCATGCTGAGTAACAGATGACATTTGACCCCAGGTCTCTTCTCAGAGGCCAAATCTTAAACTACTGAAGTATGCATTGCTGAAGGACCAAAAACCGTCTAGGACCTTCTATATTAAATGGGTCTAGGTTTCCCTTTGTGAAAACTCTCCCTCTGTCTTCTATGAGGAGGCAAGAATGAACTGAGGTGTTGGGTACTTCTCCAAGGTCCAAGGTGGCCAGCATGGCTTCTAGGGCCTGGAGCCTAAATCCAGAGGTGATGACCAAGGCACACACCCACGAAAGATGCAGTCCCTGCCTCCATGGGGCTCAGAGCCTGTTAGACAGACATGTCACTTTGGGTGCCAAGGCAGCAAACCAATTCCTCTGACGTAGAGACCCCCATGGCCTCCGAAAGGCACCTGTGTCTGTGTCTCAGGTGCTCTAAGCCGGCTGCCTCACGTCAGCATCCTCCAGGTTCTAACCCGCAACCTTCAGGTCTCCTTTAGAATCTTGTCCCATTACCTCTTGCCAATCTCTCCTTTCCACCAAGTGGTTTCAAGTTTTTGTCTCTACTGGTCCCTGAAGCTTTTGATGGCCTCCCTGCCGAGTTCTCTGAAGGACACGACCTTTCAGGCCCCCTTTGCAGTGCTGTACTAGGGGCTGACCTCTTGTACAGGACACAGCTCTTCATGGTCCCCATGCGTTCTATTACTTCCTGTTATCGAGACCAAGCGTCGGGTTTCCTTCAACAAGAAGCTTCCCCTGTTGTTCATACATGCTGTCAATGTCATTCATTTCCAGTCCCTGCTGTCCCCTTTAGAGTCTCGTGGCACCTCGAAAAAATCCAGCCACACCAGATGGCGTTTGAATTTCCTCTCCTGAATTTCGTTTCCAGCAGTAATGGAAAGAAGATGGGCTCTGTTCTGAAGCGTTCCTGGCCAGTCTGAGGACCCTTTACTGAGACTACATCTGGAATCCGTCCTCAGTATACAGGGCCTGGGAGGTCCCATGACTTTGGAGAAGGGATTCCCGTCTAGTCTGTTCCTTTTCTCTTGCATGAGGATCCTTCTCTACATGCCATGAGTCCTAACAGCCAGAAACAGAGACCCCTGAGGATCGCTCTGACTTGGGGTGCACCACAGGGTGGGCACCTTAAACATCCTTACTTCACTTGGTAGCCACATGCAGGCATTTTCTAGGCAGGGAACACAGTAGACAGAGAATGGATAAACAAGCGAGGTCACCCTTAAGCTTGACCTGGAGAGGTGACTGGAATTGATTTCAGCAGAGGAGAAAGACAGTTCTGACCTCCTTCCTGCCGTCACCACGCACAACTGCACCCCTTGGCCAGGTGAAAGGGGCGTGGAAAGCTCCAGGGAAAGAGCCAGGAGCCCTAGTGACCCACTTGATGGGGTGAGGCTGAGGGGAGCATTAGGGGACTGAGCAGGGGTCGGGCTCCGGGCTTCTGGACGTGAGAGGGTGGTGTTGATGGGGCTCCGAGGTGTGGGGAGTTCTGAGGAGGAGGGAGTGGCTTGGAGGAAGAGTGGGAGCTCTGAGAAGAAGCGGGGTCCCTGAGGAGGAGCAGGACTCTGAGGAGATGCGAGAGACGCCGGAGCACGCGGGGGCGGCGAGAGAGATGAGGTGGGGACAAGGGCCCCTGAAGCGCAAAGGTGCAGGCGCTCCTCTCCTGCGCGCTGGAGGAGGGTGGAAGAGAGAAGCACCGTTGCCTTGGCAACCCCCAACTGCGTTCTAGTCTATTTAGGGGGCTATTCGGGGCGTGTCCCGGAGGCGGTGCGCAGCTCCGGTTGGCTGACGGCGGCGGAGGGGCGTGTCCATGGGCGGTGCCCGGCGGCGGTTGGCTGGCGGCGGCGACTGGGGGCGGGGCCGAGGCGCGTGAGCGAGCGCGCGCGCGGCGCTGGGCGGCGGCGGTTGGCTGAGGCGACCCCGAGCGAGCGCTGCAGGCCCCGGGGCTCCTCCTCCGCGCCCGCCCGGCCGCGCCGCCCATGGACGCCCCGCCGCGGCCCGCGCCGCCGCCCCCCGCCCCGCGCAGCCCGCCGCCCGGGTCCCCGCCGGGTCCCGCCACGAGCGACGTCCTGCAGCAGATCATGGCCATCACTGACCAGAGCCTGGACGAAGCGCAAGCCAGGTATTGCCCGCGGGCTCGGCGCGGCCGCGCAGCCTGGCGCGGGATGGGGCGGGGAGGGGCCGCGGCTGACGGGGCGCTGGAGGAGGCCCGGGCTTGCGAGGACGAAGGGTGTATGGGGTTAAAGCGCACGCGGTGGCCGGCCTCATGGGCCTAAACAGCAGGGTGAGGGTTTGGCGAGCTTGTCCCGGGCGGGAGGGTTGGGAGTCTACGAGAGAGAGTGCGGCGTGAGAGGCGGGCACACGCGGGACCTTGGAGGCGTCGCTGGGTTAAGGGGACTTACTCGGGCGGGAAGTTTTGAGGGCGTTAGTGGAGGAGACCGAGACTCGGGGATATCAGCGCAGGAGACCGAAGAGTTGAGCCGGGTGGTGTGGAACTTTCCAGGAAAGGGTCGGTGGGTGGGGGAGCCGAATTGCCATGGAAGACCCCTCTTTTTTGCATTCGGCAAGTATGTGTTGGGGTCTTACTATGTGCCTGACACTGAGCTGGGTACTGACATCGTGCCTGCTCTCAGGTTTATGGTTTGGGAGAGAGAAAGTAAGTAGCAAAAAGTAAGTGTAAGTTTTGATAAAGACTAAAAGGAAAGGGATCCTGCCGTAGGAAGCCAGGTGGAGAAAAGCAGCTGTGGAGAGGGAACAGCACCTTCAGAGCTGCAGAAAGCGAGGTTGGGAGAGAAGGTTCCCAGCCGGGGAAAAGAAGGCAGAAGCCAGAAGCCAGGGAGAGAGAGAGTTGAGTTTGAAGGGAGGCTGGAACCTGATTACCTGGGGCTTACAAGTCTCAGTAAGAAGTTTGGATTTTAGTCCAGTTGCAATGGGCAAAACAAGGGGACTTTAAGGCCACCTGTCAAGTTTACCTCACCCATTTGTCAGCCTGCCGGGACTGCTAGAATCTGTTTCACAAGGCAGCCCACTGTGTTTGGGGCCCGCTGGAGTTTTTTATTAGAAAAAAACGGAAAAGACTGAAGTCCTTTTGGAGGATGAGGCCTTGTTGAATGGGGCCTGTTTGGGAGTGAAAAATGGTCCCTGGGGGTGGAACTGAGGTCTGGTGGTGTGGACCGTGCAGCCATGGGAGGATACACTGGGGGATAAAAAACCAGGTAAACAGCAGGTCCAAGAAGGAAGAGGCAAAGGAAAAGGTGGATAAAAGCATGCATTTGTTCATCAGTCTGTGCTTGTGGAATGTTGACTCTTTCTGCAGTTTCATAGCCTCTACCTGGAAAGTTAGCAGTCCTCCCTGCCCTCCAACTATTTCCATTCTACTTTTTGGAATGTTGTGCTAGGTGCTGGAAAAACTAAGATGGCTAACATGTTCTCTGCTTTCTTGTAACTTATTGAGAAGTAGGATGTGTGGAAGACTAATTTATGAGTAGGAGTAGTGGTCATAACAGGAGTGTTCTGTGTAGAGGTAATTCCTGGCAC